ATGCATGTCACAGGCACTTTAAAGCAGCTTTATTTAAAACATTAATACATCTTTGATGCTCTCGTGGGCCACTGCGACGGGCCACATCCGGCCCATGGGCCTTTACTTTGACAAGTGTATTAAGACCTTTTTTTGCACACATCATTTCCAGGGAATTAAACAGGAAACTTTAAACATTAGGTAAGCAAAATGCTTTTGTTGTTCCAAAACAAATGAATGTCTTAAAAACAAACGTTTATTTCCAAGTTATCTCTGTCATTTTGTACATTTTGTTTAAATAATCAAACTTTAAAATTAAATTGTTGCAAAAAAATGTAACACAGGAGTTGGATCAGTTGTTAAAATTCAGAAATTGTACTTTTTTGGTAAAGTTAAAACAAAATGTTGGGTTTTAAGTATTTCATTCAGGTTTTTCTTTGGGTTTTGTTCTCAGTTTCAGTCCGGTTCTTGGACCTGATCCTGACAAACGTGAGGAAAGTGGAGCAGGACGCAGCTCAGGCCTTAAACTGACAAATACCCAGAACCTGATCGTCCTGATCCAGGTCCACTCAGGAACCTCCGTTAAAACTCCCGGACTTGGAGGTCCGAGGAGCAGCTCGGGCTGATGAGCTTTTTGAAACCGGACCGGACACTTATGCTAAGGAGGGGAAACTGGAGCGAAGGCATCCTTAATTATCTGATGAAGAGGGGGAAGCTTATCTGAACGGCTTCTTTTTCTCTCCTCTTTTATCCCCGCAGATCACATGGCATGTCTTTACATAACAATATACCTCCGTTCAGAACCCACCCAGAGGTCGCTCCGGTCCAGGTTCTGGTCTGGGGATTAGCTCCGGGGCTTTGCGCGGCATACGGCGGAGTTTCCCTCTCCCAGATAAAATGTTGTGGAAAAGCTGAACATATTGGAGCGTTTCTTGTTATTTTCCCCTCTCTCTCTGTCTGCGATGAGAGTGTAATTAATTCACGATTAAAAGTATTAGTGCGGGCTTTGTATTGTGATTTATTTAAAGGCTGGTACTAATGCTGGCTCGGTTTCCTCCTTTAGGAAATGGGTAATAAGATCTGATGCCAGGCCTTCTTTAGCTC